TGCTAGTTTAAATTCGCACACCTGTATGAGAGAAAGTGCACATAAATATGTTGCTGAAATCTTGATGTACAGTATTTTCTAATATGTTATCTAGAACATATCAAAGAAATATCAATCTGCCAGTTTTACAACCACAAATCCATCTGCATCTCATGCATCCCTGTTGTCCTGACTCCAAGTTGACAAACTCTCCCGAAAAACAAAGGAAATTTAAAGATGCAATTCTAATGTTTCTCATCTTGTGAATTCATAATCATATAATTATCTGTGCAAACGCTTAAGTCAATGTAAAGTCTCAAATGAACATAGCTGGTTCCAGACATTGTGCCAATGCTGCTATCTGTACTGCCACCTTGAACCAATAGGTGTCAGTAAAGCTCAGCAATATGTTCAACAACAAAAAATGATGCAGTAAAATTGATTAGAGAAAATGTTCAGTTTATGTGCATCCTCTGACTCTGAAATATGTAGACTTACAATCATTTTCTAATGAATTGACTGACAAATATACTATTAAGAGACCAAAACATTTGCTTGCTTCTACATACACGGAATAAATACTGAAAACAAGGGAACACTTTTTGGTATTTAACATTTCCAATATATTTGGGGCTGCATTTATATGTTTCTGTTTTTGCCTCATCAGGGTTTTAAGGGGAGCACACTGACCAGGAGAATGTGAATCCAGCTTTCTTTTGTTTTGCCAAATACAGGAAGCAGTTAACATGGCAGCACAGCTTTTTGATTGCACTGTTCCACTGAAAGTGTTTTCTTTTAGGGATAATACTGATAATGGGAGGATCCCGAGGGTAAGCGATGCTCCCTTTCAACGAGTGACTCATTTCCGCAGCCTGCTGTATTTCAATCAAACAACAACACTGTCCACCAGCCATTTTCTAAAAGAATTCCAGGGTGTTTCCTCGTCTGACCGCTGATCTTTACACCTTGACATTTTAAAACTTACAATCAATCTCACAGTAATTTAAACCCATGTGGAAACAGTGAACAATAAAACATCTCCACTTCAGTAGACCTGTGACTGTTTAGGAGGAGGGCTTTGAAACAGTTGCCAATTATCTCTTCACTTCAGATTAGGCAGGAAGTGGTCAGCTTTGCTATTGCGGTTCCAGAGTTTGTGCTATCAGAGTGTCAACAGTACATCCACGATGCCTTTATTTCAGGAAATGGGCCTGCAAGTTTATGTCCAGTTAGTCCATGATGTATCTTTGTTCCATTACTAATTAATAGATCTATTTGAATCTCTAATGATTCAGCAAGATGGTGGATAATGGTTGTATATCCTGCATCAGCCTTGCTATACTTTGCTATTTAGTAGAGTACTTGTGACTTTTAGTAATTCAGATTATTTGCTGAATGATGGAAGAAATAGCTGTAGAATTCAGCTGTTTGCTTAGTGCTGACGCTCATTTTCCAGCTGCCCCTCGAATTCCACACTGCTTTCAACTCCATAATGCTCTCAGTACCAAACAGGCAAAACAGGAAGCTGGACATGAGTGACACCACTTCCCAAAAGGTTGTCTACATTCTTAACTGTTTGCGCACCAAACTCCACAATAGTAATAAAAGCAGAAAGAAAGATTGCCTGTTTTGGCTATGACATAATATGAATTATTAAATATTTACAAATCATTATTACATAATCATTATATTTATAATCAATCATTATTTTAATAATTCAAATTTAGACATGAAGCTTGAGCTCTCATTCTGGTGACATTTAGGAAGCCTAAAGACACAGATGAGGGTTTTATCGCCTAATGACAACAAGCTAGTTTTTATAGTAAGCTGTATTACTCCTATCATACTGAACCATCTGGAGTCAACCTGTCTATCAGGGAAACCATGAGAGGGGTACCATCATGCAAGGGTGTGTGTGTGTGGGGGGCGGGGGATGCAAAGTGCACCAACCCCCCAGGAAAGCTTCATTTGTGCATGCCAGTTGCACATCCTCCGGGCTTTCTCAGTCAACCCCACAGGAAGAAGTGGATGACTTGGGTGTCATGTCAGTACTGACTTTCTCTTCTCTTGTTTCTCGACATTTTGCAGGGTTGAGACATCATGGTACCGATGAACTCCACAGACAATCAGTTGTGTTCATAATTACAAAGACTTTTGTGCAAACAAACACTGTACAAACCTACTCAACTTTATTTTAAATTCCTGCTGATGCCAAGGATTAAAAATATGCTAAAGACACGGGGCAGATTTTGAAGAATTAACCTAAAATCTCAATTTGTAAACCAACATGGATTAGATGTCCTTAAAGTGCTAACAAAACATGGATACTTGAAGGGCTACATTTCCATGACTAGTGCAAATTCTTTGGGTGGAGGAACAGTGTGATATGGAGAGCTCCAGATCAGCTGCTGACCTTGTGGTGAGATTGTTTTTATCAGCTACTTTGAAGTTAAAGGGGTGATTTTAAGAGTGTGGACATTTTTATTTATAAGAAGGAAGCCATCATAGCTTTTGCACCGAGTTGTTTTGTTGTATAGACATTATGTGAAAACCTAGCAATGGGAAACTTTTCATTTGAAGGACAATTTAGTGATAATTCAGAGTTTTATCTCTGTCAAGCTGCTCTGCTTTCTGTGTAGCTGGCAGAACACAGTGCCATGCTCACCTTGCTCCTGGGCCCACTCAGTTTGGTATCTATCCAGTGAGCCTACACAGTCCAACAACTGCCCAAGGGCGCATTCAGGCTGAATTTAGAGTTTGCCTGCAATCTTCCTCTGTTGCATCTGGCTGAGGAGCTGACTGTGGTTACTGGAGTTGAGGTGCTTTATCTCCTGGCCCAGTCCAACTGCTGTTTGTGTCCCTCCCTCCTGCAGGCAGCCCCGAGGCTTTGGCAGCAGATAAGAGAAAGAGCCCACAGCATGCTCTGGTTTGAAAAAGGAAAGGCCGCGAGGACACCAACTATGTAGAAATATCATTCCATTCATTTCTCACAGAGACGACTTTCAAAAGAGCTTATTTTGGGGGTATTTCAGCATTAGCCTTCTGCAGTTGGAGTCTGTAGGTTTATCTTATGATCCAAGAGCTATGTAAAGAAGATAAACCCGTAATATGGGTAAAGAATTTTCAAGAGATTTCAAGAGATCTGGAAAGTAACTACATTTACTCAAGAGCTGTATATACAAGCTGTACTACTTTAAGTATATCCTTTTTATTTACTTTCTCCCACCACTCAACTACATCTCAGAGGGAAATATTTTTTACTACATTCATCTGAAAGCTACTGGTTAAATGGCAGATTATGCATTCACATACAAAACTTTCTAAATGTTCTTGCTTCAACCACACAACCCATAACATGACAACTGCCGATTGTGCACAAGGGCACTTTTACTTTTGATATGTTAGGTATATTTAAGTGTAAACACGTATGTATACGATCCTAATGAAGAAACAGATGATAAACCCTTTTCTTTATAAACAACCCTCTTAATTGTAGGCTATTCCACCATATGTGATATCATTTGTAATGTGATTGCTGTTTCCTCTGCATCTGCTGGTCATTTCACGATGTGATGACATGTTTATTTCTTGTGTGTTGTACAAATAAAACAGGTATTTTTTCTATTTCCGCCCTGATGAGATTGAAACCAGTCAGAGTTTTAAAACAATATGTATGACTAAACATGACTGTATTAAAAAGAGTACAAAGACAGTGTAGGCTAAAAATACATATTACCAGAAAGATTACCTTAAAATATCAAAGTAAAAGTACTCAATAGAATCACCTTTACCAGACATAAATGATAAGCCTTCAAGGTTGAAAGATGATATGTCTTCAATCTTTTGTCTTCAAAGTTATTATCTTATGCAATAAGATTAAATATATTAAGGATGTTGGGGACTTCAGGGGCTTTCCTGTTAGTTTTGTTGTGGGACAAGTAACAAATTGATGACCTTTATAAATCCCAACACAGTGTTGCACAACTCCAACCTGAATACATCTAATCAGCTACACAATACATCACCTTTTAAAGTTAATCATATGTTTTGTTTTCTAAAATCAATATATTTATTTGTAAAAAAATACTAATATTAACTTTCAAATACAAGTAGTGAAGGAAAAAAATAAATATATATATATATATATATTATTTTACATTTCCTTCTGAAATATAGTAAAGTAGTACAAAGTAGCAAGGTACCACTACCTCAGAATTGTACTGAAGTACTTCTTGAGTAAATGTGCTTTCCACCACTGTTATTGACTCGCCAGCCAGAGATTTTTCAAAACCTGTTAACCTAAAAGTTGTTCTAGTTAATGGCTTATAAATGATCTATAAAACAATAGTAAATGACGTATTCACCATTGATAAAGTCCTTAACAACTTAAGTCCTTTATAAAGGATCAAATCCTAAGATCATAAAGTAGGTAGTACTGGATATTTGTAACATATGTTCTACAATGGAAGTAATGAGACGCACTGTGACTAGAAACTACACAAGGCATGTACTAATGATATCATTCCATTCGTTGTCTTTTGTCCTATCGGCACTTTGGTGAAGCAAAGCATGCAACGACCTCATTAGTCTGTCACGACCTAAAACTCCCCGGCTGACAGAGCAGGCTGTGTTCAGTGTTTAGCTGTCGCTTTAAGACCGATTTCCCCCCATTGTCAAACAGTCGTGAGCAGGAAGAGGGAAACGAAAGCAGAGACGGAGAGGGGGGCCCGACGTATTTAAACACGATGCTGCTGCTGCCGCACAATAACGGTGACCGTGGCTTCATACGGAGGAGCGCGTCTGCAGCCCGCGCACTTAAAAAAAGACCCACGGACTCGGAGATCCCCGCAAGTGTCCATTTGGATCGGATTGATGGTGCTTTAATTTAAAGAACGGACGGTCCGCAAAGTCGCTGCAGGATGATACAATATACTTGAGAGACATGAAAGTGTCACCGCGGGTTATTGCCTCAGGAAATGGTGACAGTGTCCTCCATCATCAGCTTAGCTGCTTAGAGCGAAATTGTCTTGTCTTGCGGCCATTTCCACGGGACTCAATTGCCAATTAATTGAACGCACAACAAGCCTCAAGCCGGCGTCTCGGAGGCTGTGGGAGCAGGTGCAGCGTGTCGTGGCTTCGGGGTGCCCGCAGGCAGCTTCACAGGTAGCCCCTGAAACCTTATCTGGATCCGGCTGGACATCATTAGACATGACATCCACTATAGTGAGGAAGACGCTGGAAGCAAATGAGTGAGTAGCTTATTGGTATATAAACTGGCAGATGTATTTCTGATAAATTAGGGTAAAAAACACAAGGACGCCTTATCTGACAGCCAGACTCGAGTACAATAACTGCATATGGCTGATAGCATGGAGGTCAGGAATCTCCTGCTGATAAGCATGACAAAATATCACGTTCATGTCCAAGGGCAGAATGTTAAATGTGTATGTAAGGGAGGAAAGATAGCTCTTGGCAGGAAAAAGTTCAATGTTTCCCAGAACAAGATTCCTAAAGGAAGGCTAGGATATTTAACTCCGCAGGCTAAATAAATCGAAATAAAATTATTTCACAGTTTATTTTATCTACATTGTTTTAGGCATGAAGGCCTATAAGAGGTATTTCCACCTCAAAAGCAGCTTCCCGCTACCTGATCAGTAACAAACTTTACAACATTATTCAAACACACAGAACTGTACTTTAAATTATAGTGGAATACTTGAATACCAAATGTGTCAGGCCCTGAGATGATGCACAAGACATATACAATATTTACATATGGTGTAGCAACAAAAACTTTAAGGGTTCCTGGGTTTGAGTATTTCACAAACCTTCATATGGTTTCAATGAAGAGTTGGAACAATACGATACAGAACATATGAATAAGATGATTATAACAACCTGAAAGCTTCCTGTTGGGAAAGAAAATGGGAAAATGTGTGGCTACAGTACTGTAATTAACAGTATCCAATGGCTCCCTCAGGTGGACAGCATCAAACTGCAGATGTACAAGTTACCTAGGATGGACAGTTGAGAATCAGTGGACTAATAAATGGCGAATCCAGATCATGTTGGAAGTTTGGGCTTCGAGCTGAAAATATTACCAGATTAACAAAGATTTGAAATCATATTCTAATGTAGGTTTCCATGTAATTAAATGAATTGAGGAAACAATCTACTTTCTCATCCAGGGAGCCGGTGGATGAGGTCCTCCAGATGCCACCATCTCTGCTGATGTGCGGCGGGTGTCAGCAGAGCATTGGTGACAGATTCTTCCTAAAGGCCATCGAGCAGTACTGGCACGAGGACTGCCTGAGCTGCGACCTGTGTGGCTGTCGACTCGGGGAGGTGGGCCGACGGCTCTACTACAAGCTGGGAAGAAAGTTGTGTCGGAGAGACTACCTCAGGTTGGTCCGATGGTGTCGTAACATCATGATTGAATGAAGCATTTTGTTAGTTAGCGAGACATACGTGTAAACGTCTGTGTAGCCAAACGCCTGGTACATATCTTATTCCTGCGTGCCTGAGGCCTCCATTGTTGTCAAAAACTATTAAAGCTGGGGAGCATGTGTTGTTAATGAGTCAGGACCAGGCTGGATTACTAACCAGGCAATGTGGGCAACAGCTGCAGGGCCCCTGAAAGTCCCACGATTGCAGAATTTCGGTGGAATTTTTTTGCATTATAGCCTAATCCTGTGACCCGGTCTTGCTGTATGTGAAAATGTTTAAGATGTTTATTATTTTTGTTAATATTGTGCCTATTGTGTTTAATCAAGCGACCACAAACTGGATCACAGAAATCCTGAGGTCAGGTGGTGTTATTCCAGAATAGGTACAAGGCCAGGCGAAATAGAGACTCAAGAGGTTCCTTAAAGTTTCATGCTTTCCATGTACGTCTCAGTATTATGCTGATATCTTCTCATCCATTCAGGCTTTTCGGTCAGGACGGTCTATGTGCTTCCTGTGAGAAGAGGATTCGAGCATTTGAGATGACGATGCGCGTGCGGGACAAGGTTTACCATCTGGAGTGCTTCAAGTGTGCCGCCTGCCAGAAGCACTTCTGCGTGGGTGACCGCTACCTCCTCATCAACTCAGACATTGTGTGCGAGCAGGACATCTTTGAATGGACCAAACTCAACAATAACAACATGGTTTAGCAGAATGAAAAGTGTCACCCTGCCTTTTCCCACTGGCTTCAAAGGGAATGAACCATTGATAAACTAGACTTTTTGCAGCCTGCAGGCGTTGTAATACATCTGACATTCATATGAAATTATTTTAACACAGAAATGAGAGGCTGCATCTCTGCATTGCTCCCTGCTGGAGACGAATGAAGACTGCACCAGCAATAACAGAAAGCTTTTCATCATAGGCTTCATCCTTAAATGCGAAGAAAAAAAGCTTGAATACTGGCAATACTTAAACATGCAATAATAGTTGTTTGTTATACACTGGAATCTTAGATCTTTAGCAATGAACACAACTTAAGTCTTTGTCAAGTTTCTTTTAGTCAAACACTGTTTCATCACCTCAAGATCATCTGTTCAATGTGTGTTCAAAGTTTGTCAATGAGAACTTCAGTAAGGTTTTATTTTATGGTTAGTAAATTCCTGAGAAGAACTATGTGACTTGGTATTAATTATATTGAAAATATAAGCTTTGTTAAAGGAGTTGCTCCATCTAAAATCCAAGTAAATATTCATTCATTATTGGAAGCTTAAATTCTCCATTTATGTTGAATTGTATGTTTGCCTGCGGACAAATTTCCCGTTTGGATGTATAGCTAACCTGCTCGACTGACTGCATCTAAATTACAGTGTTAATTATTCGGAAAACAGAATTATTTACAAAAGATTAGAATTCACTAGGAATTTACAGACCTGTAAATTGTTACCAAAAATGTTACGACATGTTCAAGTTATAGATGCAGTACAAAGTCCATGTCGAAAAATCCTGATCAGAATGATTGTGCTGTATTACCAGGTTGAACTGGTGGCGCCCTCTAGTGATCGAGGGATTCCATGCAATACTCATTTTACTGACTTTGGAGCTGTGTGTCTTTTGTAACTGTTACACCTCTTTGGACATGCACTCATGACTTTTTGGACATTTACTATTGAATAAATTTCGATTTAGAGAAACACAGTTAATCTTTGGCGTGAGTGTCTTTCTGGGAGTTACAGATAAACCTGAAATCCAGACATTAAAAGGAATAATAACACAGAAGCTGTGCATACTACATAGCACATTTTAAATATACTCAGTCACAATGTAACTAAAACAACCCTGATTTTTGTGTGTGCTCTAAAGGGACACTGTGTTGTAAAAAAAGAAATGGAGGAGCTGTAAAACAAAATCAAATGTTTGAATGTTTAATAGCCGGTTATATTGATAAGTTCTAGTATAATTGCCTTTAGACGACACACACATTGTACCCTTTCCTGTCAGTAGAAAGTAAAGTATGTTGACTTCTTGTACACCAACTGCAAAACAACAAAATACTATAAATATTACTTTATGCAAATAGTGAATATGAAAGTGGGACACAACTATGGCCTTTAAGAGTATGTAGAAAAGACTGCGTGTGTGTGCTTTAACGGCATAGCAGTAGATTCTTATGAAGTGGCGCTCTATTCTTAATGAGGGTTTTAGCCACAAGAGGTCACTAAAAGATCTATAAATTCCAACCATTCATATTTGAATGAGTTATCAGGGTTGTTTTGGCCATGGTCAGTGAGAGCTGCTGAATATTATTCTGTTAATTATTGCAAATCTATTATGGAATGCAGCTTTTTCTCATAATAAACTCTCCTGGCAGGGCAAGAAGAGAGTGAATACTAGAGAGAGAAACAAAAGAAATTAATGTTAATGAAGTCATGATGTTTTGGGCTGTAACATTCACTGTCTCTGCATTCCCTCATTGCTGTCTGTTTTCAAAGCTGGTGTCCCTCAGTGTTTCTGCTGTCTTCTTCATGTCTGCCAGCTGTCAACTCGCTCTGAGCTGGCCACAAGTCGTGCTCCTGCAGTGCCATCGCACAACCTCCTGCCATCCCCAGTTATCTTTACAGACATAAATTCAATAAATGAAACCATGAATTGCTATTGCGTATGAGGTTGGAAGCGAAGGCGCCTGACCACACCGTATTAGCAGCTGAGAGAATCAGCCTTTACTGGCGTTATAAAGTGGGTGAAGAATGTAATAGGGAATCAATTTGCAACAAAGAGAAAGGAGAAAAGGAGGAGAGGAGGGTAAAGCAAGATAGCAGCGCACAGAAGCGCCAGGATGATGCCTTTAGCATGCCTGACAGTTTATTCATAGGTGAGGGAGGAGTAAAGAAGCAAAGTAAAAAACCCACCTAGGCTGACATGACATTGATGCTGAAAGAGATACCTGTAGGGAAACTAACAAGTTTTCCCACAATAGAGATGAGATTATACAGTAAAGGCACACAGAGGGATGCTGGGCCTTTGCTCTTTTGGAGGTCTGCAGATTGAAGAATTGTCAGTGTGGCAGTATAATGCTTGAGGAATGACTGCACGGTGGTCTCAACAACAAATCAGCTCCATATTGAACACCGGGCTTAAGATAAATAACAGATAAATAACATAGTAACTACATAAACGAAAGTATTGGAAGTAGCTCAGTAAACTACTTTGTGCTTTGTTGACGTTAGCTTTAGCTCCTCTTTGTTTGGGGTCTCACAAACCACAACACTGCGTATAAAAATAAAAATGATGAATATTGCAAAACCTGCAAATTTCTTTCCTTCAAATATTTTTTTCTTCTTAATGCATTAAAACCCAATAAGTAACTTTGAAGGTGACCAAATACAGAAATGACGATAAAGCATTTTTATTACACCAAATAAAGAACTATTTCCTGTTCTGTTTGTTGTTTAGGCAAAGTATGAACAAATATCTATTCCTTTTGTTTGGGAAAAGTAATTTACAGACAAAGAAATATGTGTTATCCTACATAGTGATATTGTTTGAGGCTGTTATACCGTATTATGCCAATAACAGACATCCCAATAGCATTGTATACAACCCATTTTGACTGAACTAGCAGCGTGGCTCTATGGATGACAATGTCGATCTATTGGTCGGTCGGTCCACCACTTTGGTCCATTAAAATATTCAACAACTGAAACATCTTAAATATCTCAACAGCAAATGCATGGATAAGATGACATTTTGATTGATCGCCACAAAATCAGGTACAGATACTCATGGTGGATGAACCCTGTAATGAACCGTAATGGTGAGTCCACTGAATCCAAACAACTTTGGTGACCCCTTAACTTTTCATCTAGCGCCATCATCTGGGTAAACTTTTCATTTGTCCAATACTTTGGTTTCAACCAAATAACTACAAAATATTTACATTTCCTTCAGCCTCAGCTGTATTTGTTGATTACTGTTAAATAACAAATGTTTATAACTGAGATGTGTTAGCATTCAGTTCAAAGCACCGCAGTACAGCCTCACACAGAGCTTCTAGCATGACTGTAGACTCTTGTTTACATCTGTGGTCTCTTGGACCTCAAACAGAAGTAAAGCACCTCTTTCTGGAAACAGGTCTTCTACAAGTAGGAAAAGTTATCCAGGATCAATCTGATAAAACAACTTTAAGTATCTTTTTTGAGATGTCAAGTAAAGCTGGGAGTCCCAAACAGAACTTGAGGGTTAAAGGAGGATGTTGTTTTTATCTGGGGCTCTCTTTCTACAAAGAGTTCACTGAGTTTAATGAGACTTTGAGAGAGTTGAGGGGATGCCAGGTCTCATCTCACGACATTGACACACACAACACACCGGTCTACAGAGACCCACAGCATCGGCCAAGCGGCCTGCGTTGCATCGTCTAGCTCTCCTCTGTTGCCCTGCAGGCTGAGCTTTGCCAGAGCACTGCCCTGACTTGCATAGCAGCCTCAGCGGGACTCAATAAAGCCCTGTGCCTCTTGTGTCATCCCTACCAGCTGTACACAAGGCCGGGAGTGTAGTGCTGTGTTTGTGTGCCGAGGGAGGCCTGTTTCATCTCCAGCGCCCATGTCACAGCAGTCCCGTACGGGTAAACCTAAAAACATCCAGCTGTGGGCATGGAAACCAAGGAGACTTTCTGAGGATGAAACCACAACTGCTCGCAGCTTGTTTTGATCAAACTGCTCACCCCACTGAAACAACCACCATGCATCGCCCTCACTCAGCTGCAGTGTGCAGTGTGAACAGCAGATGGCACTTCCGGTCTAGGTGGACGGGAAAACGCACAAGAAAAAAAAGTCTGTATCTGTGCATGTGTAAAATAACTGACAGGCCGATTAAGGGAAAGCTGGTTTTGGAACTGATGCCAGTTCAAGAAAAGATTAGAACTGAACTGAAAGTGACGAGCCATATTCAAAGCACTACAGACGTGACCGTAAGAGGTCAACGACACCTACAAAGGAAGATGTGGTTGGACAATTATCTGCAGCACCAAGGTGATTAATCACAGCGTGGCCTGTCAATGTCAAACCCATCTGACAAAATGAGTCAAGTGCTATTGATCATGCCCGCTTTGGGTTTCACTTGCACTCACACATTATCAGATGGACCTAATTGGGAACATATTCAGTCTGTGGTCCTGAGAGATGTGTCTGTCAGGAGTCACATTCCTGCTCCGATTCTCTGATAGCCCGTAGCGCCTGCAGTCTGGATGGAGGACATGCTGTGGGAGTAGAGTTTTGGGGGTTGGGGGGGCAGCACATTCAGAGGTGGATTGGTGAGTAATAAGTGTGCATCCTTTAGCCCTCACCGGGCTTGTCCTCTGACTGGATTAAATATGTGCTGAGGATTTATTATGTAGGAGACCTCTGGGGCCTCAGAAAAACTCCATCTCAACTTTTCTGCCCCCTTATATTTTCTCTCTTACAACCTCACATAATATTTCCCTTCTTTCATCTACCTTCCCATCAGCCTTGTGTATAGATGTGTGATGTGATTATTATTATTATGTTTACTGCTTCAGCCTGGATGCCTGCAGGCTTTAATGTCAAACAGAGAGGCGGAAGGACTGGAGCACAGTGGGGAAGGAAGTATTTAAATCTTCCACTAAAACAACGCTGACAAAGTAAAAATACTCATGTTTGTCAGAGCCTTTGATTTATTGATTGCTGTCATGATGTAAAGAGAATTTCAACAAATATAATAAAATTGTTTTTGAAGATTAATTACCAACCCTAGATTTAAAGTATGAAATATAAAAGTATTAAATGCAGGAAATGGTCCCTGTTTGAGTCAATCTATTATACAGTATATAATACTATTTAGTAAAGATGCATTCATGTATATAGCCTTTTACTTTTGTAGTTGGTTGAGATGGAGCTAATTTTATAATTGTATAGTGTAGTTTAATCTAAATGCATCATATTTTATAAGATCAAACATGCTTTGTATGTAAAATCGTAATTTGTAGTAACTATATCTTTCAGATACATATAGGTGAAAAGTATAATACTTACTCCCAAACTGTAGTGGACTGGAAATGCAATGTAGAATCAATGGGAATACCATATTTTGGGAGGTATGCTTATTTGCACACTTACTGAGAGTTAGATGAGAAGATCGATACCACTCTCTGCAAACATGAGGCTACTGCCAGCAGTTGGTTAGCTTAGCTTAGAACAAACTTAAAACAGGGGGAAACAGCTGGTCTGGCTGGGACCAGTAACTTCTTGAGGCTCTGCTGATCGCCTGGCCCCAAATTCGTCCATGGTATAGGTGCATCTATTGTTACCGTTGGACAGAGGCAGGCTAGCTGTTTCCCTTTGTTTACAGCCTTTTTGCTAAACTAAGCTAACTGGCTGTTGGCTGTAGCTTCATATTCACTGTAACATGAGATTGCAACCTCTCCTCTTCTCATCTGACTCTCGGTAAGAATATGAAAAAGCAAATTTCCCAAGATGTCCCTTTGTTACATTCCACCACTGCTGAGGCGGTTTCTCTTAACACATGCATACACTGACACACTATTGCATTTATCATAGCTGAAATTCTTTAGATCTGCAAAAATACTGATAGAAGTGTAGTAAATCAGTTTTGAGACAATCTGGCGGGTGTTTTTTACATATGTTTCTTTGGCCATACACCTCATCCACCCCCCTGAAATGATCCCCAC